TTCTCAGAAATTAAAAATGTAACTATCATATGATCCAGGAATCCCATTTCTGGGTATTTATCCATAAGAATTGAAATCAGGATCCTGAAAAGACATTTACACATCCATGCTCATAGTAGCATTTTTCATAATAGCCAAGAGGTAGAAACAGCCCAAATATTTATCAACAGATAAATGGGTAAACAAAATGTGGTATACACATACATGAGGATAATATTCAGTCTTAAAAAGCAAGGAAATCCTAGGTCTAGTACCATGGCATAGCAGGTAAAATGGCTGCCTGTGATATTCGCATCTCATTTGGGCACCGGTTCAAGTCCCTGCTCCTCCACTTCTGATCTAGCTCCCTGTTAATACACCTGGAAAAGCAGCAAGAGATGGCCCAAGTGCTTGGGGCCCTGTACTCATGTGGGAAACCTAGAAAAAGCTCTTGGCTCCTGGCTTTGGATCAGCCCAGCTCTGGCCATTGCAGCCACTTGCAGAGTCAATCAGTGGATGGAAGATACCTCTCTCTCTCTAACTATGCCTTTGAAATAAATAAATAAATCACTAAAACAATGAGTAAGGAAATTCTGCAATTTGCAACAACATGGATGAAACCTGAGGACACTGTTAAGTGAAATGAGCCAGTCACAAAAAGACAAAAACTGAAGTATCTAGGGTAGTCAAATTCATGAAAACATGCGGTGGGCATTGTGCAACAGTGGGTTAAGCTGCATGCCATACTGAAGCACTGAGTTTGAGTCCTAGACAGCCTGTTTCCAATCCAGATTGCTGCTAATGCACATCCTGGAAGGCAATAGATGAAGGCTCAAGTACTTGAGTCTCAGCCACTAGGCTAATGGCTTGGGGCTGGCCCAGCCCTGGTTGTTGGGGGCATTTGGGGAGTGAACCAGCATCCTTTTCTCTTTCTTTGTCTCTCTCTGTGAAGGACATTGAAGGGTTTCATGCAGCAGAACGATGTGACTTGCTGCAATGTGGTAACTAGACAGCTATGCACTCACCTAGCTAAGAAAGGAAGAGGATCTGAACAAGAAAAGTAGTTCAATAGGTCGATGAAATTATGTTTTCAGAGTGCACAGCACTGTATCTAGATTAACTCAATAAATATTAGCAATTATCATCATCATTATCTATAGAACCCAGTGATTTAATAAATTAAGAAGACAAAGAGTAGAGAAAATCAGAAGTTTCCAAGCATCTCATTTGAGCAACTAGACAAATGATGTTGCCATTCTAAAAGACTTGGAACAGATGTTTTCTTCATGTTTTGTGTGCTTTGAGGTGAGCACAGATACCATGAATTTAGTATTAGGCAGGCTAACTTTAAAGTGCTTGTGGAATTTCTAGATGAAGATGTCAGGCAGTAGGATACCCAGAGCCAAGTCTCAGGACAGACTGAGATTAAGAGACCTCAATAATATAGGGGACAACCATTACCCTCTAATAAGTGTAGTTGTTTGTTGATCTGGGAGAATCAATACCTATATGTGTCGAAATGTTCAAAAGCCAAAAATTCTGAAAATGTATAACAGAAAAAAAGTCACTTTGAAATGATGTATTTATTAAGCTGTAACATCTTAAAGCAACCACATCATAAAGCTTTTCTAACTGACTCACCATTTATCAAAGTAATGTCTCACTACTTATTATCCCAACCAAACTTCATTGGAGTATCAATAAACCCTATATGATTTCTAAAATAGGCCTCATTATGGGAAAACTTCAAACTCTAGAATAAGAAAGCACAGGGGCTGGCACTGTGGTGCAGCGGGTTAACGCCTTGGCCCGAAGCGCCCACATCCCATATGGGCACCGGTTCCAGTCCCGGCTGCTCCTCTTCCGACCCAGCTCTCTGCTATGGCCTGGGATAGCAGTAGAAGATGGCCCAAGTCCTTGGGCCCCTGCACCCACGTGGGAGACCTGGAAAAAGCTCTTGGCTCCTGGCTTCGGATTGGCACAGCTCCGGCCATTGCGGCCAATTGGGGAGTGGACCATACGATGGAAGACTTCTCCCTCTCCCTCTCCTATCTCTGTGTAACTCTTTCAAATAAATAAATAAATCTTAAAAAAAAAAGAATAAGAAAGCACAAAATAAATTTGAATTTAAAGTTAGATGCCATACTGGTGATTTAATGTTTGAAAATTCACTAAATCTCTCTATGCCTCCATTTATTAAACGGAGATAATGCCGCCAATCTGACTTAGCTGTAATGGGTATTAAATTACACAACAGGTGTAAAGAAAGTAACATGCTGACTAGCATACAGTACAAGTTCAACAAAAGGTAACTTTCATGATCATCAGACCTTTGAGAAATTTGTGGAAAGTATTTTATTTCCAATTTAGATTACCTATGATGCTCAGAAATAAATCTGAATTTTTATTTTATTAAGCATTTTAAAGCATACAGCCCAATGCCTAGGCATTCAAGGTGGCAGACTTTTTAGCATGTTAATTCATGATGTTAAAAAAAACTGACTTGAGATATTAACATTGGCAGTTTGTATATACAGTAATGAGACAATCAGACATTATGGTGCAGCAATTAAGCCACCACTTGGGATGCCAACATTCCTCTAGGGAGTGTCTTGGATCCATAATACTGCCTCTGCCTCCAATCCAGCTTCCATCCTGGGAGGCAGTAGATGATGGCTCAAGTACTTGAGTCCCTGCCACCCACATGGGAGATTCAGACAGAGTTCCTGAGCACTTGGAGAGTGAACCATTAGATGGTTTCTTTCTCTTTCTCTCTCTCTTTTTCTCTAACTCTGCCTTTCAAATAAATAAAAATAAATCTTAAAAAAAATTATATGCAACAGAGGAGTTAATATGCTTTCAAACTAAAACTAGAAAGGGTTAAGTATAAATTAGCTAATGCGGTTTTTGATTTCTACGTATTTACAAAGGGATAATATCTGGGAAGGCACTATAAACTATGACAAATATAATTCTATTTTCTATTCTGGCATTCTGGAAAAACTTGTAGTTAATATCTAATAGAAGGGGCTGGTTCTCGGGCATAGCAGACTAAGCTCCACCTACGGTGCCAGCTCATGTTCTGGCTGCTCCTCTTCTGATCCAGCTCTCTGGTATGGCCTGGGAAAGCAGCAGAAGATGGACCAAGTGCTAGGCCCCTGTAACCACATGGGAGACCCGGAGGAAGCTCCTGGTTCCTGGCTCTGGATCAGCTCAGCTCTGGCTGTTGTGGCCACTAGGGGAGTGGATGGATGGAAGACCTTTCTCTCTGTCTCTCCCTCTCAAATAAATAAATTAAATATTTTTTAAATTATCTAATAGAAAGTAGAAAGTTAATTTTTTCTTTCTGCTCTATTCCCATTCAATGATCAATTAAAGTCCCAAGATAAAATACACAGATGGGAGATTGGGCTTTTTTTTTTTTTTTTGAAGGGATGCAAGAATTGGGGAAATTTAAACTAGGCTTTACAGTAAACGTGAATTTTCCATTAATTTCCTCATTAAAAAACTTTAAGGGGAAAACATAATTCTAGATATTTTTGCTAGTTAAGTTTTTTTTTTTTAAAGATTTATTTATTTATTTGAAAGGCAGAGTTACAAAGAGAGGGAGAGAAGAATGAGAGAGATCTTCTGTCTGCTGCTTCACTCCCCAAATGGCCTCAATGGCAGGGTTGGGCCAGACTGAAGCCAGGAGTTTCTTCCCAGTCTCCCACTTGGGAGCAGGGGCCCAAGCACGTGGACCATCCTCCACTGCTTTTCCAGGTGCATTAGCAGGGAGCTGGCTATGAAGTGGATCCCCCCGGGACTCTAACCAATGCCCAGATGGGATGCTGGCATCACAGGTGGCAGCTTTACTCACTATGTCACAATGCCAGCCCCCAAGATTTTTCTAAGTTTAAATTTTGATGAACTTTAAGAAACACATACTCCAAATCTACTGGCTCACCTTTATAACAATCAAATATGAAGTCTAAAATATAACAACGTGGCCAGCGCTGTGGAGTAGCAGGTAAAACCATTGCCTGCAGTGCTGACATCCCATATAGGCACTGGTTCAAGAACCAGCTGATCCACTTCTGATCTAGCTCTTTGCTGTGGCCTGGAAAAGCAGTAGAAGATGGCCCAAGTCCCTGGGCTCCTGCACCCACGTGGGAGACCCAGAAGAAGCTCCTGGCTTCAGATCAGCCCAGCTCTGGCAATTGCAGTCATTTGGGGAGTGTACCAGCAGATGGAAAATCTCTCTTTGCCTCTGCTAATCTGTAACTGTGCCTTTCAAATAAATAAATCTTTAAAAAATTTAAAATAAAATATAGTAACAAAATTTTGATTACTAGAGATTGAGAGTGATAGAGGTTAACTGGATTAAAAAAATTAGGGAAAGCCCAGTGTGGTTCATTAGTTGTGACAAACATACTATATGAGTATATATAACTATAAACATATATATATATATATATGAGCATATGAAATGTTAACAGTGGGGGCAGCTGAGGATGGGGTAAATGGAAACTCTGCACTACTTCACAATTTTTGTTTTGTAAATTTAAAACAATTCTGAAATAAAAAGTTTTTTAAAAGACCAGATTAATAGTATGCACACAGAAATAGAACCTCATTGTCAAGAGCTATTTAATAAGACACAATGTATAGTTAAAATTCAATAAACAGGACAAATATATATTGTATATACCCTCACATATATATAAGAAACAGAGGATGATGATGGTTTCAAGCCTCTTGAAGAGTTAATTATTATTTATAAAACAAAACCATTCATGATAAAAGACACAATGCATTTGGTCTATTCTCAAAGGAAGTGGAACACTACTTCACAGAATAGTAAAATACACATTATATATTTTATACATTATTTGTGAAAATCAAATAAGTCCTATCTTTCATCTAAATTGAGAAGTTTACATGATCTATATATATACACACACATGAACATATATGTATTTAAATTTTAATCTTTATATAGATATTAGCAAGTGTTAAATGCTACCATTGATAAAACTTACGAATCAACATGCAGAACTCTCTGTCCACTTCTTGAACATGCAGCCGCAATGATGGATTCAGGCAAACCTATAAAAACACATACCTATATCATTTAGAATGTAGAAATATATATCTATACACACATTTTCCACAAAATGTTCAAAACATGTTCTTACTGTATAGAATACTTTTGCAAGAGACACAACCTTGTGTTCAAAATTATAAAGCATATAGTTATTATATTACATTATTAGATGTTTCTTAAACATATGCCAACACTGAACATCATATTATGCAGAAAAGATATTTTTAAAAATATTAAGGGGACAGCACTGTGGCGTAGTGTGTAAAGCTTCCGCCTGCAGTGCCGGCATGGGCGCCGGTTCGAGTCCTAGCCGTTCGGCTTCCGATCAAGCTCTCTGCTATGGCCTGAGAGAGCAGCAGAAGATGGCCCCTGCACCCACGTGGGAGACCTGGAAGAAGCTCCTGGCTCCTGGCTTCAGATCGGCCCAGTTATGGCCATTTTTGACCATTTGGGGAGTGAACCAGCAGATGGAAGACCTCTCTCTCTGCCTCTGCCTCTCTAACTCTGCCTTCCAAATAAATAAACAAATCTCTAAAAAATAAATAAATAAATATACTTAAATTCTTTTTATCTGCCAATCACAAAAAATGAGCAACTGTAAGAATGCTGTTCACACAGAATTTTGTTATTTAGGAACCACATTCACAATTAGTTCATCTGATTCTCTCAACTGCTCTGAGAGATAAGTATCCATGCAACACATTTTAGGGATAAAAAAATAATCTGGAACACAAACATGTTAACATTTTTGCTTGATGCTTTCTTTAAAAGAGATTCTATAGCTGAAATCTGAACTCAGATCTAATGCCAAAGCCACAATACCACAAAGGCATACTTTTTTTTTTTATTTTAAGAAGTATGTTCACTAGCTTAAAAAGAGGTAATTTACAGATATATCATTTTGCCTTTTGGTCAATACAGCAGTTTGAAAAGAAAACATCACTGCTTTGGAATCAAATTTAGTCATACCACAAAGCTGATTATGACAAAAGGCCATATATTTTACTACCAATAATAGCAGAAAAAATCTGAACATTTATAAAAAGAATGCTCTTATAATTTGAAAAAGTCAGGTTTTCAGCTACATTTGATAGTTAACTCCCTATGTTATAAGTTTAAGACTCTTCTATAACTTTTTACCATGAGATCTACCGTTTTGATAGAGGCTATCAAATCTTTTATGTCAGGCATACAAATAAAACATGTTTGGGAAATTTAGTGCATTTCTATGGTGTTAGTAGTAACTTTCACTATGATGAAACATCCTGATCCTCTGGCATTTTCACCTAGTAGAAAAAGAAATAGTACCATTATTTTGGCAAGGATTTAAACTATACACCAAGCAGCTAAGATTTCAAGAAAAGAGAAAGGTTACCTTCTCTATATAAAAAGTAATATGCACATGGAAGCAATTGACACAATCTCTAGTTTAAAACCACATTAAATACAAGCTCCAGATGACTTCTCAGAGGAACTAGTTTTCCAGTGTTGAACGCTTTGTGGGTATATAATGTCTGGTTCAAAAAAAGTAGTTCTGACCAAATGTACTGAATATAACCATTAAATATCAATTATCGGAAACAAGCCATCATAAAGGTCTAACCTTAAATTTGGATATAATTCAAGAAAAAAATGAGAATGTTTGGTGTAGACAGAAATAGGAGAAAGGAAAATTTTAAATAGCTAAGCATACTCAGTTCCTCAGTTAAAACTACATTATTATTTTTTTAGCATTTTTTCCAAAATAACCATATTTTAATTCTTTTTCCTCAAACTTCTTGAAGTCTTCTCACATGTACATGTATCATACTGATATTGAGTCCTACAAATTTTTATACCTTAGGAACTGTTCTATATTTTTAAATATTTTGTAACACATCTTTGAAGACCTATTTATCTGCTATCTTTCTCTCTGAACTGTTTGGGCTGTGTTTATTTTCTTTTTCTTTTTTTAACTTTTATTTAATGAATATAAATTTCCAAAGTACGGCTTATGGATTACAATGGCTTCCCCCCCATACCGTCCCTCCCACCCGCAACCCTCCCCTTTCCCACTCCCTCTCCCCTTCCATTCACATCAAGATTCATTTTCGATTCTCTTAATATATAGAAGATCAGTTTAAAACTACATTATTATAATAGTTGTATACCTTAAGACCATTTGAACTTTTTACTACACTTAAACAACTTTCCTTGTTAATGAAGTGCAGTCCCGCCATGGTGGTGTTTTTTATTTATTTATTTTTTTGACAGGCAGAGTGGATAGTGAGAGAGAGAGAGAGAGAGAGAGAGAGAGAGAGAAAGAAAGGTCTTCCTTTGCCGTTGGTTCACCCTCCAACGGCCGCCACGGCTGGCGCGCTGCGGCCGGCGCACCGCGCTGATCCGAAGCCAGGAGCCCGGTGCTTCTCCTGGTCTCCCATGGGGTGCAGGGCCCAAGCACTTGGGCCATCCTCCACTGCACTCCCTGGCCACAGCAGAGAGCTGGCCTGGAAGAGGGGCAACCGGGACAGAATCCGGCGCCCCGACCGGGACTAGAACCCGGTGTGCCGGCGCCGCTAGGTGGAGGATTAGCCTAGTGAGCCGCGGCGCCGGCGCCATGGTGTTTTAAAAGCTGATAAGTAGCTCAATTAAAAGAATAACAGTGAAGAAATACTCAGGATGCAGAATTAGCATGCTAACAATAATGTTCTTGTGTATGTATAATGACAGCAATGATAACAATGCCAAACATTAGTATAGGATTTTGTGCTTTGCATTGGATCTTCACAAATATTATCTATTTCTCATTATAATTCTGAGAGGAAAGCAGTATCATCCAAGTGAGGAAATGGGTTCAGAAAGGTCCAATAACTTGCCAAATGTCAAATAATTTAGTAATTTGGTACCTCCAATGCAAAATACCAACATAATTCACTACCTCCGAGCAAGCCATAAGTTTGAGAATTTAAGGGCACTACAGTGATATAATGAAATGGACATAGTCTCAAACCTAGGCTCAAATCTTAGTTCTGCTACTTAACTGGCTGTACAGCATCAGAAAAATCACTTAACTTCTCTGAGCCCTTTTTCCTTCATACATACAAACATCGAAGTGAAATCACTATCTACCTCATAATATTGCTCAGTTGTCAGCATGGGCACTTGCCCTATGAATACAATGAGGGAACTTCAAAAAGTTCATGGAAAAAAATGGAATTAAAGGACATTATTTTGGGGGGCTGGTGCTGTGGCACAGCAAGTAAAGCTGCCACCTGCAGTGCCAGCACCCCATATGGGCACCCGTTCAAGTCTCAGCTGCTCCTCTTGCGATCCAGCTCTCTACTAAGGGCCTGGGAAAGCAGCAGAAGACGGTCCAAGAGTTTGGGCTCTTGCACCCACGTAGGAGACCAGGAAGAAGTAGACAGAGTTCCCACCCACTGGTTCACTCCCTAAATGCCCACAACAGCCAAGATCAGAGCCAGGGGCCGGGAACTCAATCCAGGTCTCACACCTGAGGGGTAGGAACCCAATTACCTGGGTCTCCCCACTGCCTCCTAGGGTCTGCATTAACAGGAAGATGGAGTCAGGAACTGGGTATTGAACCCAGGCACTCCAATGTAGAACATGATTGCACTAACCAGCCATAATACACATTTCCAATCTTTTGGAAGACCTCTTATATGCATGGATTTCAAAATTCTTTTGCACCAAAAAAAATCATCTTTTAATTCCATTTCCACAAGTGTTTGAAGTACACTTATATCTACTCTTACTATCCTACAGAAAGATATTTTAGAGACAGTACATTTTCACCCCACTCTACTCCACACACACATCTATTTTTAGCAGATGCCAACTCCAGTAGCAAACAATAATAAAATTACTCTCCTTCACTTGACCTCAAATAGCTGTTACTTTGGGTAAGCAGATATGAATGTGGTTATTTCAATGGCTGCAATCAACACTGCGAGAGTAAGCCCCTGCTGACAAAGCAAAAGCAAGAATGGATTTCAATACTGAACATGATCTGAGTCCAAATTACATAAAACCAAAATGACTTTTGGTTTTCCTTAATACTTTTATCCAGACATCCCTGCAACTTTGTGAAATGGATAGGTTTTTCCAGTGTGAAATGGTAAGGGCCTATTATCTTCATGCTTAGAATTATTAAAATAATAAATGAATACTACAGTTAACAATGTCTTCTCCTGGGCAAGATTTCATATTTCTTCCCTCTCATTCAGTAAACACAGTTCCTGAACATAGGAGGTACATAGTAGATCCTCTCTATATATTTGCTGAAGGAAAAAAAAAAAATAGGAAAAGGCATGTCGCTCCCCCTCTTCGTGGAGGAATGACACAGGACCCTGCGCTGTTCTTTCGTCTGCTTGGCCCTCCCCAGGTTTGCTGCTGGTTCTTCCCGGGTTGGCTACCGTCCCTTCCACCTCCGTGGAAGGGCGGTTCCCCCTGCCACTTTCCCCACTTCCGCGGGGGAGCGGCACACCGCCGGCCGGCTCTCTCGGGGGCTGCTCAGGTGTTCCCCTTAGATGTTCCTGGTGCATGTTGTCTCTCTCCTCCTTTATAGTCCTCTTCCACCAATCCCAACTCTGCTACCCACACGCCAAGTATGCTGCTCTCCTCCAATCAGGAGCAGGTCCCACAGTTTATTGGTTGAACTGGAGGCAGCTGTGTAGAAGCTGTTACTCCCTTCTCAGCGCCATATTGCAGGAGAGCAGATGCATAGAGTAAGTCTTAATTCCAGTAACTTAGTCTAGTCCGAGTTGCTCCCAGTTGCTCCCCACAAAGGCATCCCGTATGGGTGCTGGTTTGAGTCCCTGCTCCTCCACTTCAAATCCAGCTCTCTGCTATGGGAAATCAGTAGATAATGACCCAAATCCTTGGGTCCTTGCACCCTTGTGGGAGACTCAAAAGAAGCTCCTGGCTCTGGATCAGCCCAGCTCCAGCTGTTGCCACCATTTGGGGAGTGAACCAGCAGATGGAAGACCTCTCTTTCTCTTTCACC